GGGTGACAGGGATTAATTGCCATGGCTCCCAGACTCATGGAAATGAATTCTGCAACAACCCCCCCAACATGCGCCAAATTTCTTAACCCATACCATTCACTTTTCCTTGCATATAATGCACACTTCAATTTTCCCTAGCTGGATTTGAGGGGGAAACTGCAGGGTTTTGTGTGAGAAAATACAGTAATAACTAATTTATTTCTTACATCACTAAGAAAGAGATAAAGATTAAAGAGATTCAGATTACATTTCTAGGGTACTCTTTAGCATACACACAGCAATGTTTGCAGATGACACAAAACTCAGAGGGGTTGCAAATGCTTTGGAGGATATGATTAAAATTAATAAATTATTGATAAATTATAGACTTGGGCTATGAACAACACGCAAAAAATTCAGAAAAAGACAAATGTTAGGTCCTACATGGGAAAGAAAAGCCAAATAAATGAATATGAACTAGAGAATATGAATAGACTGTTTTTTCAGTAGCATGGCTGGCAAGAATTTTGGTGTTGTGGCAACTCATATATTCATCATGAGTTAGCAATATAAGACCATTATATGAAAGAAATGAGAGGTGATAGAATAACTTTACTCAGCACTGGTTAGGCATCAGCTGGGCATTTGGCAAAACTGTAGAGGGTCCGTTGTTGTAAGTGTACATTGTGATGTCATTTTGTCACCTGTGTAATATTCTCACACAAATATCCATAAGCATCACATCTATTTTGCCGATTATTTAAAATAATAGGAACTATGTCTTATTTTTTGGTCTTATGTAGTTTTGGAGAACCCCTGGGCTTGCAGAGAGAGGAGGGTACTGTGTTTTTTTAAATATGCTTTTTTGTTTCAGAAAGATTTCTGAATTCCCTATTTTCATTCCAGAAGTTAATATCATAATGCTTTTATGCTTTTTATCTGCTTTGATTCTTTTATGTGTTTTACTCTGTTTCATAGCAAGATGTAACCAGTCTTTTCTGTGCCTTGGGTGGCAGCGACAGACGGGGTAGTAACAGTGGCTGTGCTGCTGGCAGATGCAGCTAGGACCATCCCCTACAACCATCAGGCCCAGCCTGGCTGGTTAGCAACCCCCTTCATTACTCTACTGTTTTTTATAGTGCACTAGATAATTTAATGATGAACAGCCACCTAAACAAAATTCAGAACTAGATCCAAAAGTTATGGTTTGATTCCATATTTATTATAAACAACATACTTCTAATAATGTGTGTTTTCTTTCTTGGTACTACAATATTAATTTTTTTAATCCCCACTTTTTAATGCTCAGGAGATAGCATTTAACTTGCAAACAAATATCTGATACTATAGTTACATCCCATATGATTCTCATTCTTGGAATGTATGACACACATTGAACACATTTGTGTTTTTCCCTGAAGGAATAACATCTTTTTTATTTGATGAAGTCATATTTTAATAACTTCAGAGGAGCATGAAGAATTCCAAACTTACAGATCCAATATCTGAATGCCTTTTCAGTTATAAAAAACACATACATTTCAAAGAGATAAATCAAAGCTTTTGCAAGAGTTACATATAATGTATGGAATGGGATAATTTGCATTTATGCAAAATGAAGGGTTCAATGCATTTCTGGAGAATATTCGAAACTTCTTCACATTCTGAGGATGCATATGCCACTATCGCCAAAGTCAAACCACAGTATTATGAGTCAAAATGGTATTGCCTAAAAATAATGTTTGTATAAATTTTTTAAACTTTCTTTTCCCACCATATCTGTGTGTGGTTGTGAGAAAGAGAGACTGAGACTGTGTGATTATTACCAACCTTTCCAGGTGATTTTCACAATCCCTGCAGGAATTCTCACAGAAGCATGCAATTGTTACAAAATTAAAAAGATTGTATAAAATAGAATAATAGAATTTTATTATTTTCTGTTCTATAAAATAATAGAATCACAGTGTTGGAAGGACCTCAAGGGTCCTCTTGTCCAAGTACCTGTACAGGGAGAATGCCACTTCAAGTTACTAATTCTCAATACTTATTCAGCCTACTCTTAAAAGCCTCCGGTGAAGGAGGTTCCCTAGCTTCCCTGGGCAGTTGTGGAACTGCCTAGTTGTTAGAACTGCTAAATTGTTCTAACAGTAATGTGACCACTGGGCCTTGAACATCTGGTCACATGCGGCCTTGGTCCGAGTAGCCGGTGGTGTGTGCCCCACAGTCTCCAGTAAACCATCGAGTAGGTGTTTGTTCCCTGAGTGGCCTCCCCCAATCTCTCCTGCCATGACTTTGAATTTTCCCCAGTGGTGGGGTGACTACTCAGGGTTCCTCTGTGGCATGAGATCTATCTGGCGGTCACCTGCAGAGCTCCACCTCTCCTACACCCCAACCTTATGCCACCTTGTTGGGTCACCAGGTCTTCCTGGCCACACTCCCACTCTTGTTGAGTTGCAGCAGCCTTGCTAGCCCCCCTCCCGTCCAGGGCACAGGCTCCCGAGGTGGATTCGCTTAGTTAGCCTAGGGTTACTTGCAGCTGGTAATCCTCAGCCTCAAAATCTATTCTATTCAAGGTATGATTCCTGGCTAGCGTTTTAAACACAAAGATGAAGCCCATAAGAGCTCTGTGGTGGTTACCTCAGCTGTGTCGCCTACCCCTACCTCTCAACCCCTCCAAATGGGGAAACACAAAGGAAAACACAGAATAACAATCTACTCTGTTGTGAGAGATCAGTGCAGCCCCTCCCTGGCCCCTATGTCAGGGTGCTGGGTGCCTTACTCCCTAAACCTCTCCAGGGTATTACCCCTACATGAGACCAGGTACCCATGGCCCCTCGCTCAGGTCATTTCTTCTGTTTTATCTGGTTCTTCCCAGGATATGGTCCCACTCCTCTTCTGTCTTTTCTCTCTCTTCACTATTCGGGTGCCTCGTAGCCCCTCTGTGTATGCCCGATTGCTCCTCACACCCAGGAGCAGCACCCTGTCTCTTCACAGCTCTTCATGCTGCTCCTGCTTGGAGCCTGTCTAAGGGGAAGTTTCCTCCACCTCCCAAATGTCCCCAGTGTTCCCACCTGTTAGGGTGTCGATTGGCATATCCCCCTCTCTGCTCCCTCCACTATTACTCTGCTGGCCTCTGCTGGCTGTAGGGGCTTCCTCTGGTTCATCCTTCACTCTGACAAGCTGTTCCTCACCACTGCCATTGTGGCCGGTACCAGGAGCCTCCTCTGGCTCTGTGTCTGCCCAGATGGGCTGTCTTCTTGCCTCCCTGAAGGACTCTTGAGAGGCACTCCGTGGTGGTGCCCTCCTTGGGTCTGTTCCCTCTCTCCCTCTGTCTTTGCCAGTGGTTTGTTTTATTCCCACCAGCCGGTGATTGCTGGTGACATCACCGGCTGTGCTCTGCTGTATGAAGATGTGGCTGACGAGCCGTGTGGGTTTCTTTCCTCGCTCCAGCTGCGCTGTGGTTCCTGCGGCAGATAAGTAGTTTCTTTGGTTTGTTTTTATGTTTATTTTATTTTCTTCATGGGATTTTCGTCCCCTGGGTTCCCCCTTTTTGGTTCAGGGTCCTTTCTCCCGCTCTCTCCCAGGACAAGTAAGAAATATTTTCCTGATCTAATCAAATCTTCTTTGCTTTGTATCCTACCATCTACAGCATGGAAAGTTGTTCTCCTTCTTCTTTAGAGCAGCCCATGAGGTAGTTAAAACTGTTATCATGTCCCCACAAGCCTTAATCTCCTTTTTTCTGCATGCTAAAGATGCCTAGTTCTGTAAGCCTTTAATGGCTGATGGACTGGAGTTTCCAGCTTCTCTATCACTTCAAATATAGCAGTCAGTTAATTCTACGCCCACTTCTTCCCTTTGTTCCTCAGGATATCTGTGCTCTGGGCATGGTTCACTCTGCTCTCCCACATATAGAAGCTTGGTAGCTCTTTCTACATTGAAGGAAATAGCTCCGAGGATCCCCACCCTTCTACCCCCATGCTGGGTCTTGTAGGAAGGGAGAGAAGGAGCCATCAGGAAGCAAATGGACCTACTATTCACCAAAGGAGAAAAGGAGCATAGCCACCTCAGCAATTTCTTTTCCCTGTGAAAATCATGTCAGGGGCTCCCTCCCATGACCAAAATCCCTTCTTGGATCCTGAAAGTGGATGAGAAGAGGAGGAAGGGGGATGCAAAGAAGGTGATTATCCAGAGAGGAAGTCCCTGGAACAGCTGAAATTTGCATGAAGGCTGGATTGGATCTTCTTGCTTTATGCTGAGACTTAGGCCAGCAGTAGCTGAAATCATGACTCATGTTTGATCACTGATGATTATGGAATTCACTGTGACCTGTAGCTATTTTGGTGTAGAGTAGCTTCTGTTGTTATGTATGATGTGATTCTGGCTGCTGAGACCAAAGATCATCCTCTGTCTCTGAGGACGGGATTCTGAGTAGGTCCATTCAGGGAGGTATCAGATCCAACACCAGGATCTATTTCTTTTTGTGTTAGAATTATTAACATAAACAGCAAACCACAATAAGAGTAAAGTTGTTAAATATGTTATCTCTGTGTCTTAAAAAGAAAAACAACAGAGCAACAGAATTTGAAAGTGTAGCTCTGTTCTCAGTTTAAGTCAGTTCACCTTAGTGATGTGGGACGTATATTTATCAAGTAAACAGATGTTGTCAAATTATAGGCTGTGAAATGTTTGTATAAAGTAGATGGTGAATACTAATGAATAATTAATATGCCAGCAAATATCAGGATCAATTCCTAGCTATAGGTAAGGAGATAAAATGGTCATATTTTTTAGATAATGGCAATGAATAATTTGACCAGACCTAAAATGTGCTGTATCTAGACAAAATTGTGCAAATAGTCACTGTACTGTGTTTCCTAAAATTACCCATTTTTCTCTTAGAATAGTAACTATATTGCTGCTCTCTTGCTGATAGAGTCAGACCAATGTTGATATTTGAAATCGCTATAACAGTACTCTGTGACAAGAAAGCAAACTTGTTGGGTTAACACTTTTTTCCCCAGATCTTTTACCAGCTGATCTGCTCAGGAAAATTGCCAATATGTCTGGATGCCTACCTTACATGCTGCCACCAAAATGTCCAAATAATTGCTTAGCCAATAAATACCGACTCATTACTGGTGCTTGCAATAACAGGTAAGAAAAATAGATTTTTAAAAGACACACTTCTCTTCCCGTTACTGAGAAAGTTGTGTCTTCTATGCAAAAATACATGTTTTACTCAACTTTATCTTATATTTAGGAAAACAGTGGTAAAAGACCTACAAAAGATCTGCATGTGAAGGGAAAGAAAATCGTATCTTGAATTTTTTCAGCGCCTTCTTGTACTTTAAAGCCTTAGTACAATTTATTGAATGCAGTGGACTGTGATGTTAAAATGTTTGTATGTCTCAGCTTTGTTTGGCTGAAATTTCTAGAATATACTTTGGTCACATAGCACCACAAAGGTAGTGTGGATGAAAAGGGAGGTAGCTGGTCATATTTAAATAACCTGCCTTTCAAGTATAATATAGAAATACAAGTCTGCACAATATGGCTGATCCACATCAAAAAGGTTTCTATCCCATGAATTCAATGAATGAAATGCTGCCTGGCTCCCTAGAATCATCAGCTTTAAAAGACCATGAGGTGCAGTATGTCTGGATATGACCAAACACTGGTAACTCAGGAGGCTTGATTAATTGGGTTTAAGCTAAGCAGGGTTATATTATAATTGTAATAGTTCTATGAAAGCATAAATGACATATTACCTCTAGCTGTGAGGGATTCCGGAGCCTAAACTCTTACATGAGATATATCTGAGAATTCTTATTTGCTAATTTCTGGGTATGCTACACTAGGACTTTAAAATTGACTCTTCTTCTTGTCAAAGTTTTATTTATAGCTTCTTCCTCCCTAAAAAGCTTACTAACAAGACTTGTTTCTTTTTTGATGAGGCCATTAGAAAAATTATGCCTGTGATTATATTGCAGCTCTCATGATTCCCATGCTGATATGAGGTTTCCCATTCCCTGGCTCAGAAATGATAAAAATGTATTAATGTTGCTCCTCATGCAACTAAGTCTACATGAGCACTGAATAACATCATGTCATGTCATCATGTCATGTTTTCTAACAGCAATAAGAAAACTTTGGTGGCTTACTACCAATGATAAGAGTTACAGAGATTTTCCAAAGTGCTAATGCAAGTTATCAAGCCAAAGCATTCAAGTTTCATGACAGAAGCATTAAAGTGCATAAAATCATAGAAAATTAGGGTTGGAAGTGACCTCAGCAGATGCACCCAGTTGCATGCACATTCTTAGTCTTACGGTGAAGTTCAATTTGAGCAGGGACTGTAACACAATGATTTTATCAGAGAGACCAAATCACCTTCCTGAAGAAGATTTGTAATGTGGCAACACTGACTGATCTCATAACAGAAGTAATTGATTGAATAACAAAACCAGGGAGTTCACCAAGGTCCATTCATTGTTTGTTTGAAATATACAGGTGGCACAAAGTTAAAAACAATTCCAGTGACTACCTAGAATGTAAACAAAACCCACTAGATTTAATTGGAAATCCAAATGTGGGTGGTTCTGACCGATCCATTCATGTCTCATTTATATATATCTATATCTCACTTATATAAGCTCTATATCTTTGAGTCCAAAGGCTGGGGTGCTGGACACCTGCCCTGGGGCTCTGCTACCTAGCCCCTCCCCACCTCGCCCACAGCCCCTCGCTCTGGGCCTCAAGAAACAAAATATTGCAAACAGTTTTCCACTGGTAAGCAGATTTTTTTATTGTCGGTGTTTGTGGGGTGGTGGTAGAGGGGTTTTGTTGATTGAGGTGGGAGGGGGAAGAAATGGGGGTGGGTGTTGTAAGGGTAATAAAGTTTTTTTGTTTCACCCAAGTGCATGTTCTGAGAGTGGTGCTGGGGGTGGGCAGGGAGAATGGGGAGTGGGGCAGGTGGTCTAGGAGTGCAGGGAGTGGGGTTCAACCAGGGTCTCCTGCAGCTGGGGTTCTGGCCTCTTCTGGTGGGTGTGCGCCTGTCCTGGGCCCTGGGCGGGGTGCTTGGGCTGGCATGGCCAGCACCATGGCCAGCAGGAGTACAGGGCACTGGTCATTGCTTGCAGGACTGGAGCAGTGGGGCACTGATTATTGCTGGCAGAGGCCACAGGGGCACATGGCAGGGCTGGAGGGGCTTGGTACTAATGGTTGTGCCAAGTTTCTGCACATGTAGACAGCAGCCACAAATAACTTAATGCACATTAGCTTAATGTACAGTAAATTTAGTCACAGTTACTTGTGTGTATGGACGTACCCTGCAGGTACTAAATTTAATGCATTTGACCCCAGTGCTCTTCCTGCCATGGCAGGGGGTCGGACTAGATGATCTGCTCAGGTCCCTTCCGACCCTAGAAACTATGAAACTATGAATGCACATTAGGAAAAGCACATTAATGCATGCATAGACGTACCCTCATATTGGAGGTACTAAATTTAGTGTGCATTAGTAAAAGCACATTAATGCACACATAGGTGTGCCCACTAAATGCTTCTGTACACCCATAGAATTATTTAGCATCTGAATTAGAGATTCATGTTGTGCTTAGGTCCTTCTAGTTTTTGACACATTTTCCTCTCTCTTTTACTTTTTACAGACATTTGCACCTGTATAATCATCATAAAAAACAAACATTCTGGTAGACAGTTTATACTAACTGTCTACAACATTTACAATATGTTGTACAGCCTCTTAAATAATTTGGCTGAGTCATCAACTAGTGTAAGTTAATATGGCTCAACTGACCTACATATATTGATAGGTAGCAACTGAGTAGCTGGCTCATTAAATTACAACATTAAAAATCTTCAGAGATTTCATGTCATGTATCTGTATTATCACTATATATATCGTTTATTAATTCTATTTTTTCCCATTCCAAATGCTTTAGATCTAATCATCTTAACTACCTATTAGTGGAATGCAATTTTTATCAGTCAGTAACAAGAATATTATGTTATATGTTAAAGTTAAGCAGCTGTTCTATGCTGATATTATCTGGAAGAGGAATCAAGTTATGACAAACTTTAAATAATCAAAATGTTTTGCTTGTAGCTATCTCTTTGATTAATGTATTTGCAATATTTATGCATTTTGTGAACAGTACTCTTGGATTATGGAATATATAATCTGGAACATTAATATTAAATTTTCCTTTGTGTGAAAGCCCTAAAACAAAGCTAAAATGTAATATAATACTATGTAGGTTTGTGTGGTAAAAGTATTTTAACTGGGTGGAGTTGGAGGGGATTTTAAATGAATCATAGAATCATAGAAGTAGGGTCGGAAGGGACCTTATAGATCTTCAAGTCTGATCCCCTGCCAGGGCAGGATAAAAAACTGGGTTCAAATGATCCCAGCTAGATAGGCATCAAGCGTCTTCTTAAGGACCCCCAGGGTACGAGACAGAACCACTTCCCTTGGAAGTTGGTTCCAGATCCTAGCCA